AAAATAAAAAAGTTGAAATTGGCATCAATTGAATCTCAATCGTATCACATAAAGTCTTTTGATATATAGCGACTTGCGCCGCGCAGTTATTTAATTTTTTTCTTATGGATTTTCTTCACGAAAGATTCATAAATAATACAATGTAGTAATTAAGAATACAAATTTGTAGTGGATTGATTATATGAATGATATCTTGAAGAGCTTGTGTAAAACTTAAATAAAAGAGACAAAAAATAGAAAAGGACAAAAAATTGGCTAAAGATACAAATAGTAGGGTAGTCATATTTTCTTACGAAAAAATATATATTTATGTTATAAATATGAGAAATGCTACAGTCCCGTTACGGAACCATTCCGTCGGGATTTGTATCTGTTAGATCATCATGTAATCGTCGTGGATAGTTGATTTAACTGTTACAAACTCTGACAGAATTGTTCCATAACGGGACCGTCGAATCCCTATGAATATGCTCTTGCTTATATTATATTTTAAAGCATGGTATTTGAGTGTAAAAGCATGTATATATGCTGAAAAAATATAGTAATACTCGAGTTTGACTCGATAAAAAATTACAATAGCTTGAGCTCGACTCGCAAATTTTTAAATAGAAAAATAAATTACCATTAAACATCTGCTAATATACATATGGGGGGCATTTTAATAATTTAACATATATCTCGAGCCGCCCGACAATACAAAATATAGATTCGAGCTCGACTCGAGTTCGTGCTTGAGCCGCTCGAGCTCAACTCGAGTTCGGTCAAACTCGTGCTCGAGTCGAGCTTTAACTCGAGCGCTAACAGTTCGTTTGCAGCCCTACTTGTGATAAACATTAAATCACCCTGCATGGGCTATTATGAAATTAACATTACTTAGTTATTAGGGAAAAATTAAAAATATTTTCTTTTAACACAGTAGTAATTGTTAAGCAACTTCAAATTAAGTCATTAATTACACCAACCCCTATGGGTTTAGCAAACTGCTCCTTCTTTTGACCTATTTTCTTTAATTAACCACAATTCTAAGCCAACTGTCATTTTACATTTTGTTAGACCTCTGATATGATGAAAATGAACCTCAAATTAATTTAAACAAAAATAAGATAATCTCATCTTTCTTAATTTCAAAAATCAAACACGACTACCTAAAAACACAAAAAAGTCCAGCATGTTATGCAAGATAAGAACAATAAATAAATAAATATTTAAGTTTATTTATTCAATTTCACTAGTTAGTTAAACACACACACACACACACACACACACAAATATACTTAATTCGATGCACCTTATAATATATTACTACTAGTACTCGTGCATATGCATATAGACAAACAATAATTTGTATATTATATTATGTGTATATAATATATAAAACATATCACATTTTAAATTTTTTACTATTAATAAATGAACAATATAAATATAATTATTTAACTCCCATGTGAGCCGCTATATGGATGATACAAAATAGAGATGTGAATTTTGTAATTTAGATAGACCATAAATGATTAAATAATTAAAAAAAATTACAATTATTTAAAGTATTAATTCTGCCACTAAAACAACAGAAAAAAAAAAACTTAATAGGATGAAAAAAAGATAATATTTATTGTAAAATAAAGATCTTAATTTTTTATTTTTTTTTTGTAATAAATTAATGTAACGATTTTCTTATATATACAAAATACGAGCCAAATATTCTTTGTAACTTAATTTTACAATTAGTTAGTATCAGTAATAATTATCATATACTTCCTCCTACTTTTATTATTTATCATTCTGACTTAATTGATCATTGGCTATTTTGTTTATATTTTTTCATTTTTAATCATTCATTTAATACACAGTGTCTCTTCATATCTCATCTCCATCCTTTCCCATAACATCATTAAATAAGGTTAACAAGAAAAAATATTCTTAATTAACGTGTTTCTCAAAACGACAAATAATAGAAATATGAGGGTAAAACTTTTTCCAGTAGATCTAGGGTCGTACAATAATAATAAATTTAATAATATTATTACACTTAATTAGTGTAAAATGTAACGATTTTTTTATACATTACTTATAAAATGAGTCGAAAATTTTTATGATTTGCATTAAGTAATTGGACTCCAATTATATGCATAGATTTTATTTTATAAATTAACATGTTCATTTTAAAAATGCCTTGGCACACCTTGCTACGTGTGTGATGACGGATCGGTGTTGCGTTCCCTCGACTTGATGACCACTTCCGTATCAGTGTGCTAGGGCGCACCTAATTATTTGCGGTTTCTATCTACTCCTAGCCTTAAGACAAGCACTAATTAGTAATTAATTATCCTAATTAAGTCATTTTATTCAAAAACTTTAAGTTGGGTGTCACAATAAAAGCCCATTTGCGGTGACGGTGCCACATGTTTCAAGGTCATTAAAGCAATATTAAGAAAACTAATGACATTACGAATAAATAAATACGTATGTTAATCAATTGAATAATAAATTGGAGGATTGATTTGGAAAACAGACCAAGTATTATTATTTTTAAACAATAAAGTGTAAACATTAATCATGGGTTTTATTTTATTTGTTTTTTTCTTCTCCGCCACAATATGATTGAAGGTCATTATGTCAAATATTAACAAGTAAAATCAATCTCTTAACCGAATCTTAATTAAAATAATAATATTCGTATATATATATGGATGAAATAATGCAACTAAATTCGCACGGTTTATCATTTTACTACACCAAACGATATTTTTTTTTTTAAGAAAATCATTTTTATATTGTTGTGCATTTTCAACAAACAATGAATCCAAATCTGCAAACATCCGAAAAAATGGTTAGCATCAATATATATTTTATAATTTATTTTGCTTTTCAATAAATATTAAATTATTAATAATAGTCTTGTCCAATCAGCTGCTTATAGCTATTTTCAACGGGTTGATTATTAACATAATCCATACATTTATAGCTATTTAGGTTTATCTTCAACTATTTTATTTTTTGCACAAAGTCAAGAACACAAGTTCATAAGCATGTGTGGATCATCTTGTGCTTACTTTTGTTAATACAATAACTATTATAACATTGTTCAGTGTACAACAAATATTTAATAGTTGATTGCATTAGTTGATTGTAGGTACTCAATTTAATTAGTAGATTTGACTAGCTAATTGAATTAGTTGATTATCCATGATGTTTGACAAATAATAGACGGTTTGATATGAGAAAATAACGAATTTTACAATTATGATCAAACGTCTAATTTAACCCCCAAACACTGATACCAAACATGAACATATTTATAGATGAATGGCCATTGAATGCCCCTACAAGGTTTATATATTACAATTAGTATGTGAGGTAATCTAACATTGGACTCGTCGATTTGGGATGCCTACGATCTCATCTATTTTGATGTGGTGCAATCTAAGCCTCATATAAGTGTTGAGTGGTCGTCCGTCTCGACTCGTCGGGCCCATGTTGGCCCTGATTGTCCCGAACAGCCTCTAGTAGGTCCCGCAAAGCACTCAGTCGCCCCCAAACAGCACCCGGTATGTTCGTTTTAAGCTGAAACCAATAATTACCAGTATATACGCAAATTTCAGCGACCAAACAACATAAATGAAATAAAAATGCTGAAAATAAATAAGAAATAAAATAAGAACGAATACACCCTTTTGTCGAGTTCTCGTACGAAGGCCCAAATGCCATGAATGCCACGAGAATGTTTCGAATATGACCAGGCTCAGGCTCCTTTTGTCAATTATTTAAAAATGAGTCACTAACGAACCGATCAATGGACCTTCCACCTCAATAACTCTGTCACTGTAAGCCCAACGGTAACTCCACCGGCCGTCGCACAAAGCTCACCCCGAAAACAACCCGTACACTAAAGCCCTAAAATCCCCTCACATGAAAAATTCGGCTGAATACGAGAAAAATCCCCAACACACTCACAATCTCATTATCGCAAAGATATCATAAGATAAGAAAAGGTAGGATAACTTGACGCAAAGTCAAAAGAAGAGCAAAAGAAAGAGAGTATCGACTGATTTTTGGAAGGCTGCGTAGGAGATGGTTGCATGGGAGAGATTCTGAACCTTAGGATTGCCCTACTAGAATTGAACATGTATTTAAAGAGGGTGACGTACGGTCAGGATCGGATAACTTAAGTACGAACGGTCAAGATCACATAGACCAAAATGGGCTACCAAAAAACTAGACTCGAGTCAAAGAATATTGGGCTTGGAATTGATAAATATTTGAGCCATCAATAAACATCTTAATTGGGCCATAAATATCAACAATCTACACCTTGGCTCAAAGTCGATTCACAAGACTCAGGGTGACAGGTTTCATCATCTCCTTACCTCATGGTACCAGCACTTAAATACAAAGTTAGGGCAACTATGTAACCGACACAAAGTCGACTACCCTACATAGAGTCACGTAACACATTAATCACGCGCATCAAAGTTCAAAATTTTCAAACATGATCTAAACTTCTCAACAGACAAACACTAAGTCCCGGGGATTAAATTCAGAAGCAACCTTCTCAAGATTAACCAAGCCTTTAGATATTATATCACGTATAAAATGAAACCGAACTATCTATATGTTTATTACAATCATAAGTAACAAGATTTTTTATAAATTTATTCCATGATTCTCATAAAAAATTTTATTGTTAGCTTTTGCATATACATACAAGTTAATTAACGAAAGAAGCCAAATACAACAACACATAGCTCCAATCCTACTAATTTTATTCAATATTTCTTGTAAAATTTGCTGTTACAAGTGTAACTTTCGTATAAACCTGTAAATTATCAACTGAAAAGAAGCAAAATACAACTGTGAACTGTTCACACAATCGTTAATCTCTAATAGGCCGCTGAATTGAACACAGCACAATTGAACAATCAATCAATTGTTCGGCAATCAATGTCATGCCCGGCTCAATCTATGGAGCTTACGGTCCTGATCTCCTTACGCCGGTGCACGCACATACAGCTGAAACAGATCCATGCCGTCATAACAACGGCGACCCTGATCGGAATCCCAGAGGTCCGATTGAAGCTCCTCCGCCGGAGCACCGAATTCGGGGAAATGGACTATCCGGAGAGGATCTTCGCCCATATGGGCGGCCAGGCCGCGGCGGAGACGCCGCTCTGGAACGCGATGGTCAGAGGCTACGCGTACAACGGACCATACGTGAATTGCCTGAAACTGTTCGATGAAATGTCCCTGCGAGGCCTTTGCCCGAACAACCACACGTTCCCTTACGTTCTGAACGCGTGTTCTCAGATGGGTTTGTTCGGAGTCGGCCGGAAGGTGCACGGCCGTGCTCTGAAGTCCGGGTTTCTCTGGGCGTTTACTGTCGGGAACGCGCTTTTTGATTTCTACGTAAAGATGGCTGAGTGTTTGGAGGGCGCGAGCTCGAGCGATGACCGTAAAGCGTTCGACGAGACGTGCGAGAAAACGGTGAACCTGTGGAATAAAATGATTGGAAGATACGTGAACGAGGATGATGTCAAGAATGCAAGGAAACTGTTCGATGAAATGCCCGAAAGAGATGCGGTTTCTTGGAACACCATGATTTCGGCATATGCTAAAGCGGGTAACCTGGCAGCTGCTTGGCACTTATTCAATCGTTCGCCGTGTAAGAATGTGGTGACGTGGACAACAATGATTGGAGCGCATGCCGCAAAAGGAGACGTGAAAACGGCCCGGGAGGTGTTCGACATGATGCCGGACAAGAATGTTGTCTCTTGGAATTGCATGTTTGCGGGCTACAACCGTGCCGGTGAATTTCAAAAGGCGCTCGATTTATTTTCCATAATGCAGTCCGAGAATGTGGACCTGGATTCCTACACACTAGCTGCGGCCCTAACGGCTTGTTCCTACACGAGCGACCTCGAGTTAGGGAAACGGGTCCACTCCATGATACGGGATTGGCCCGAGACAGGCATCATAGTGGGGTCCGCTCTCGTGCAAATGTACGCAAATTGTGGGGACATTGATCGAGCTTTCACTACATTCGTCAAAATCGGGCACAAGGATGTGTTTAGCTATAACATCATGATCAAGTCACTTGCCATTCACGGTCGAGCCAAGGATGGAATCAAGATTTTCGACCGAATGTTGAAGAGAGGGCTAAGGCCGAACGAGTACACCTACTCGTGCGCCCTCTTTGCGTGTAGCCACGGAGGTTTAGTAAAGGAGGGTCGCGCGATTTTCAAGGGTTTGGAGAGGGATTCGGACGTGGGCCCAAGCGTGTATCACTATTGTACAATGGTTGACTTGCTATGCAGAAATGACCGGCTTGAGGAAGCTAAGTCGTTGGTGGATGGTATGAAGGTCGAACCCGATATTGCCGTGTGGGGAGCTTTATTGAGGGGTTGTAAAGAAAGGGGGAATCTTGGAATGGCGGAAAGCGTGAGCCGTAAGATAGTTGAGTTGGGATCTGACGAGGCTGGTGTTCATGTGCTTTTGTCAAACATTCGTGCCTCGATGGGTGAATGGTCCGGTAAAGTCGAAGCAAGAAAGCTAATGGACGAGACTGGAATATGGAAGAGAGCGGGGAGTAGCAGCATTGCTTGATAATCTTTCGCAGTCGACTTAAAAGAGCAAATTTTTGTAGGGGAGTCTGAGTAGTAGAAGTTCTTGTGAAGACAAAGCAAATTTACACACTGCAGTCCTCATAGAGTTCTTTAACATTCAATCATCACACACTCCAACATTGATTTTTATCTATCCAACAGTACAAAATTTTTACCATTAAATCACACAAACTCATCCATCCAACAGTACAAAACGCGGTGATACGAGGGCAGATAGGAACGCAGATAGGAATGAATTCTTTGGCAGAAAGAACAAGCACATGCCAGTAATTACAGCAAAGTTTAATTTTTATACATGAAAAACCAGAAGCAAATTTTTACAAACTGCTCTGTTTTACTTTATTTTTACACGTATTAAATGTCTAAAAGGGCTCTCAAGACCACTAGAGCTCACAATTCTGTGCCTAAAACAACCCTAATTCATTACATATCAGCACATAATCCAATACAACTGCACTGGCCACTTCCCAAATTTAGTTTGCCTCCAAGATTAAATATATTGTACATAGTACAATTAACATGCCTAAAAAACATATGCTCAGAGATTGAAAGGAACTTAGAGCAACACACACAACATCGTACTTAAATTCTAGGCCGTTCCATGAAAATCCACCCAAATTCAAATGGGATGCTCATTAGTTTCAACAATATTAGAAAATAAAAGGCAAGTTTAGCGAGGTCCGTCCACTATAAGGGAGAAATATTATGATAAGAAGCATAATTTGACGGCTCATCCTCGAGATAATTAGACGCTTTCAATTTTCGACAGGTTTCAGTTCAGTCTCTTGATGACTCTATTGATGGATCATGTTGAACTGAAACCTCGATAGCTGCTGTGGAATGGTAGATATAACAGGTCCATATCTCTGGCAGGCAAATAAATAAATAAACAAAAATAAAATTATTATCGCTTACGATGTAACTAGCAAATGTTTGGATTAAAAAGAAAGAGCTATTATATTCATAACATAAAGTAACTGGTAGAAAAAATTAACTAATAATAATAATAATAATAATAATAATAATAATAATAATAATAATAATAATAAAACTGCAAGTTGAATAGCCATAAAAGCTACCATACCTGAACATTGTCATATAGTTCAAATAATGGAACAGCAAGGAGCTTCAAGTTCTTTGGCACAGCAAAATACTCACGTTCAGACAGGTGAACAACGAAAAGCTTCTTGCATTCCTGTACAGCGAACAAAATACGACTGTAAAAAGTTTCATTCGAACCCGTAAAACAATGTAAGGGTCTAAGGAAGGTGGTGAACCTACCTTAGGCTTTGTGATGTGTGGAGGGCAATAAGGGTACATGATGGTTTCGAAATTCGGTCTCCACCACATAGCCACGCACTCGCCAATCTGCATCAAGTTTTAACGACGGTCATTGATTTCGAGAGAATGGCCAATAATACAAGAAACTAGTCAAAAGGTCAATTCAGGCCCAATGTGAGAAATCAAGTTAAATTTAACATGCAACTCGATTGCACCCTGCATATTCCCACTTAACACTAAATCCAAGAATGTTCACAAATCAAAACTACTAAAGTAGTCCATCAAAAAATTAAAACTTGCTTCCTTAATTAGTACCTGCCAGTCTGGCTGAAGAGAAGGCGAATTAGCAGCAAGTTTGCTTGACAATTTCCTTTTCAACCCCTCAATTTCTGTGAAGAAACATAGTGATATAAAAAAAAACTAAGATAGAAATCTAATCAAACAAAATCCGGATGAGACAATCAGCAATTTGTTACTGCAGTTCAGGATTCTATCTTCTTTGCTTAATAATGTCAATGCTGAGTTTTCAACTTAGTAAATGCAAGAGTGAGAAAGATAGGAAACAAAACTTGATACCATTCTCTCCTGGCTTCAACCTGCCGCCTGGAAGTTTACAAAACGTATTTCCAATTTGCAAAAGAAGAATATGAGGATGATTATGCTCTTGAACCTGCAAATCAAATCACAAATTACTTCTCTTGTTAGCAAAAAACATAACAATCAGATTATTCTAGTTACAAGCCCAGCAAACTACAAGAAAGAGGGAAGAACTATTGATAAGAATTACGTCCGGGACAGTTGTGGAATTTTTTTAACAATTGACCTATGAATCAATTTGACAATATCGAGTCTATTATTTGAAGACTTCTTAATGAAGAAGAAGCCAACAAGGTCATGAGATAGAATGTAATCCCAGATAACAAGACAATGAGATATTTATTCAGTTTGTTTTTACAACAACAACAACAACAACAACAAAGTCTTTTAGTCCTAAACAAGTTGGGGTAGGCTAGAGATGAAACCCAATAGAAGAGAAACCGTGGTAAGAGAAACACAAAAAAAGGCTCAAAACAAAACAAAACTCAAAACAAAAGGAAGATATTAAAGAGAAAGGAGCAAAAGTCACGGTTCCGGCACGTTGATCGCTAGCCTCCAAACACTCCTATCTACCGCTAAATCCTTGGAGATATTCCAATCTTTCTTGTTTTTACAAGAAAAAAAAAAAATCCATACAAAATCAGTTATCAACAAATCATTATTACACGAATACATCATTTTATTCCCTCGCATTAATCAATCCAACCTCACGCCCGGATATGAGCAACCAGTTTCGACCAATTTTGCTTTGAACTCTCCATTGAGAACAACAAATCCAAATTGCAAGAACAAGAATTTTAAGCAACAAAGTTCAAGACTTTCGTAACTACAAAGATATCTACAAACCAATTAACCAGGGAACGAATCGAATACAGACAGCCCACAACACCAAATTTGCAAATCGAGAAAGTACAGATCTTCATACCAGCAGAATTCCCTCGACGCTGGTCCTCATACCTTCCTTCATGTAGCTGCAACTCAAAAACCCAACAAAAATTCATACCCGAAATACAAACATATTCTTCACAGAGGATCTTATAATAAACCCTAGATACATCAGCTAGGCCCGTTCCAGGGTTTTACAATTACAACAAATCGAAAAATCGAACAATACAAACAAATAAAACAAACAGGAACAAAAAAACAAGAAAGATACAAAAAAAAAAAAAAACACGGACTTGACTTTCATGCGGGCGAGGCGATCGGCGACGGAGGTATCTTTCTCCATTTTCGGCTCCTTGGTGCCGAAGGTGTAGCTCGACAGAGGGTATGTATTTACAATCTGAGATGCAACCATTTTCATTACCTTGTCCGCGATGCGAATCTCTCACCTTGCTTTCGATTCAGCTTCTTGTTTTTTTTTTTCTCCTTAATTTTGTGGGAGCAAATCAATTCCGGAGCCGTCTGCCAAATTCGGAGTGCCGAGCGGGAGAGAGGAGGAGGGCAACTGTGCGTGGTTAACAAATAAAAGCGTGTTTCTATTTTTCCAATGTTAGTTCGAATTGGAAGAATTGGAAGAATTGTCACAGGAGTGGATCCGTGTGTCGCCTTGGTCGACGGTTCTAGTCAAATTTTGTAACACTGGAATTTGAGTTTGGTTTGTCTTGGCCCAAATAAAAGGACGATTTGGGCCCAAACTTTGGAGTAAGAGCTAGATCCACTTCATTTTCTTTTATTTTTTTTATTTTTTATTTTTTATTTTTTTTTTTTGAGAAAATTACCCCAATAGCTTTCCTATTTTATTTTATTTTTGAAGAACTTTCACAAACTTTCAAGATAAGATAGATTGCTTGAATATTAAAACAAAATCAATACGAATTTAAAATTAGTATTGGATATGTAAGGATGCTTCTTTATCATGTATCTCAAAACTAAAGGAATCATGCCCGATTTTTTTTTTTTTTTCAAAATCACCTTTTGACTTTCCCACTTTCTCAACTCATATCGCTCGGAAAGAATAAAATAACAGAAAATAACTCATTTTAGTCGAGACTCACTTTGCTCTCCTGCTGAAATGTGTCAGCCCCTATATGCACAAGTTAAACGCAAATGTCACATCTCGTTTTTTGCTCTGGATTGTTCATGGTGAAGAAGAGCGCCACTTCATCAAAAAACCGTGATCATGGTCAAGACGACGTACGACAAACTCGCTCGAGTTCGCGCATCCAAACGATGAAACCCTCCTTCAAACGAAAATTGGTACAAAAAAGAAGATTCAATCTGAAAAATAATTCCAACAAAATTTGACTCAAAGATCCCTCTGAGCAATGACCCAAGGGAAACATTCAACATCCTTCCCAACGGGGATGATGATTTCCAGTCCGATTCGAAGGAAGTGCCCAATAAAATGATACAACAAATTAAAAGAGTAAAAACGGTACAGGGTCCAGGAAAAATAGAGTCAATTATAGAAATGATGAAAAAGGAAAAAGTTGGTGATGTTTTAGATGAACCGAGACCAACTTTCGGTATAGTCCTTGGATTTGGGGATAACCGAGTTTATGCTTACGGATGGCATGGCACTCCGATCATTGTTTGGATATGTGATGATCTCGTTATGTATAAGTCACGAATTCGACAGCAAACGTAAACCTATGCGCATTGGATCTAAAAGTTTGAGGTAGAACACTTATGACTTAAAATTTATGGCGATCTGGTTGATCTTCAAATGGATGATCGGGATGAACATACGAATTAAATCTATGATATTTAGTTGGAGAGATAAACAGATTCTGTGAAGAGATAAAGAGATCTCTTGATAGTGGAAAAAAGTCCACAGGATTCTTAATTGATTTATACAATTGTATAAGCAAATGTGTATTGATGTAGTGGTAAAAAAATTCCATAACTAATTCACAAGGGCGAAACTATACACACTTGGAGAGGCGCCGACCCTTCAAAAAAAAAAAAAATCGAACTAGGGGTGGGGGGTTTTGCTAGAACTGCAAGGGCGCTGTTTGAGCGCCCTTCCGATGTCGGAGTGGGAGTGGTACGCCGCGTCGCCGCGGGATGGCCAGAGGGGCGCCACCAGAAATCCGAAATCCGAAAATACAGAGCAGCTGAGAAAGGAGGCATGGAGCCATAGAGGGGAAGCTGGATCGGAGAAAATTTGTGTTTGTATTGATTTTGTGGTGAAATTTTTTTTAAAGGCAAATTGGGCCCTTCCCAAAAACGGATCCTGATTTCGCCACTACTAATTCATAAGATATGCATATCAAGTTAGAACAAAATAGTAAAAGGCCAATAGTTGCCATACTATTTTCGTGATATTTCATATGGGCAATGCTATATGTACACCCCCTTTTAATAAATTACACAAAGAAAAGTGCTATATGTACACCCCTTTTTTACACTTGATGGGGTGTACATATAGACACCCCCTTTCATATTTGTTTGACTGACCACACGTTGGCTTAAACAATTAAGCTAGTAAGTTAAGAACTGTTCCCAGATATATGTACTGATTGCTATGATGAATATGATTAACCGTCCAATTCTTATTATTACAGTAATCGAAACACATTAATGAAAAATCAAATCAGTCTGTTTCAAATATAACTATGATCAGTATTAAGTGCCACACCTAGCAAGGTGTGCTATAGCTTTTTAAAATAAACATGTTACTTTATAAAATGAACATATATAAACATGTTTATACATGTTTATTTTATAAAGTAATATGTTCATTTTAAACTGTCTTGGTACACCTTGTTAGGTGTGCCAAGGCACACGGTAGTAGCACTGCACCAAAATGACTAGTCCTTTTCACTGTTTTTGCACCGAACTCATAATTCTGACATATGTTAGGTTATTATGTATATATATATGTATAGAAAATAACTATTTTCACCATGTTTTGAAGTCTTGTTAAGTTTTTCGCACCACCTAATAAAAAACTAAGTTTTTCACTTCAGAAAATGCGAACAGTATTGTACGATGAATATGCGACAACTACGTGCGAAAGTTAAAAGTGCGAAGGCATTCACATTTCTTTTTGCACTTTCTGGGGTGAAAAAAAGTTAAAGTGCGAAAGCATTGTGCGATGAATATGCGATAGTTATGCAATTGATATGCGACAGTTATGCGACAGTTTTTCGCATAACTTTTGTATATGCGACTGTTATGCGATGAATATGCGACAGTTTTCGTATAAAAAATTTTTCCCTTATATATACTCTTTTTTATTTATTTTGCATCCCAACACAATGATGTGGTAAACTACTTTCTGTAAAACACAAGTTTTTGTGTGACGAGCATTAGTTAGTTTACAATGACAAGTTCTGAATAAAAATATTTAATTATGTTATAAAGTGGTGTACTTTTATTTATGTTGTTCACCGAGTGTTTTACATCTAGACATTGTCACGGCCCGATGTTCGACCCAAACCCCGGCCCTAAATCGGCTCGTGGTCGACGGGCCCGGACCCAAGCTATCTCGCCGGGCTGGGACCAGAACCATCAGCTATCCATTAATACAGTCTCTGCTATCAACTAATACTTCAACAGCAAACAACAAATTAGCTATTAGAGCATTTTTAATGGACTGTTAATTGTGAGATTGTAGAAGTAGTCCGCTAAAAAACTTCTCCAACAATAGTTTTTGTACTTCTATTGTAGATGATGTGTCATGAGACAGACAAAATAAAATCTAGAAGTCCTTCTACATGTGGAAGGACTTCTAGACTTGATGACTCATTCTTACCCTTTATTTATTTCTTTTATCTTTAAATAATAATTATCGTAAAATATATAATTACGATAGAGATGTTTTTAAAAAATTACAGATGGGTGATAGCAAATCCAAAATGATGGCATATTTTGTCTATAGCAAATCCAAAATGATGGCATACTTTGTTTATATTCACTCTGTTTATGAATTAAATTCACTACATAAACTGTGAATTAAATTAACGTAGAGTGCAATATATAAATATATATTGTTAAAAGAAGTTTGTGTATCCATTTTTTTTTTTAGGACGACAAATGGAAGAAGTCTCTGTATCTATTTTTGAAAACATGAAAGGAAGAAGTCCGTGTATGTATAGATATCTACCAAAAATATTGTGATTGGTTCAAATTTTGTTCGACGATTTTGGTTTTTTTTTTTACAAAAAAAATATTTACTATGTACAAACATCAACCATTGGAGAGTGATTTAGTTTATTAAGTCCCTTGGAGAGAAAAACTTCTATTTAGTTGCCGTGTAGACTGCAATTCACATTATTCATGAAATAAACAGCATAAATTAATACAACGTGCTATCAGGTAATAGCAAACAACAAAAAGGAATACAAGACAAAGAAACAGCATAAATTAACAAACACTTTGTTAAAGCAGAAGGAATCATGAACAGAAATCACCACAGATCAAATGTTGTCCACTACACTAAATATTGTCAGCATCAATACACTCCATTCATTTGCTATTCCAAGTATACAATCAATCAGTTGAAACAAAACAAGAACAACCTAAAAAAAACCCATGCAAAAACATTATCTTTTCCTCAATCCTCATTGTCAGGTTTATATTAAACGAAAATCTCCAAGAAAATGGCAAAATTGACCAAATTTTAAAATTTCCAGCAAATAATAATAATAATAAAAAAAAGAAGAAACAATTAGACCTGCATTACTTTCCTTTCCCCTTCAAAAGCCTGCAGCATCCCATCCGACCCGCCGGCCACCAACATGCACCGTCCATCTCCGCCCATCTGCCGCCAGCATACACTGCTCACGAAACCCAGGTCTCGACCGGGTCCCGTCTGCTCCTCCGCCATCCGATCAAACTCCCTCACCCAAACCGGTCGGGCCCACCTCTTGTCATACACGAAAACCCGATTATTCTCCGAGCCGCAGCTCAGCAGGCCCGCGTCCGTCAAAACCGAGAGCCCGACGAATCTCCGGTTATTGGCGTGGCCCGTGAAAGTCCTGATCGGGCTACCGTTTTCCATGCTCCACATAATTATGCTCCCGTCGACTGACGATGAGATCAGCGTATGGAAGTCGAGGAACCTTGTGTATGTAACGGGCCCACGGTGCCCGTCGAGCACGAATGTTGGGCCCGAGGAGAT